GGTTTAAGAAATTCATTGATGATGGTTGATATGTAGAATAGACATTAGTTTGTGTGTGTGTGTGTGCGCGCGCATGCACGCATCTCCATCCTGGGAGGTTTTTAAGATCCAGGAGGTCACAGCTAGTCCAACCCCCTGCTCAAAGTGGGATCAGCACCAGCTCCATCATCCCAGCAAATGCCTTGGCCGGGATGATGTAGCTGGGCCTGGTCCTGCTTTGAACAGGGTGTTGGACTAGATGTGACCTCGTGAGGTCCCTCCCACCCTCATTTTCTATGATTCTAGGACACACATTTTTTAAAAATGGTGTGGCACGTCAACACATTTTTCTCCAGTTAGAGAGAAACTAGAAGCGTTACTAATATGCCAGGGGCCTAATGCTCTGCGATTCACTTTAAGATCAAAGCAAAAAACAGCTTTATTGGAATGTGCGCTCATTTGCAGCTAAATGATATATTCACTTTAAAAAACACACAACAAATGAGGGCAGACATAGTAAAAACATATTGTTTCATTCGGCCTGTAGTCATTATAGTTATACGTTCATCTCTTATTCGGGCTTGGCAAATAAAATCTAGCCTCCTTGAGCATCTTGACAGCACATCCAATACTTCCTGCCTGTTATTTCCACATGCGACTTAATGCTTACTGTAGGCCTTGCTGGAACATCGATCAATATATGCGCTGATCACACAAAGGCTTGGCTAAAGCATTGGCCAGAGTAGGGCTGATCAGCAAACCTGACGGGTGCACAAGCTCCTTACGGAAGCAAAATTTGGACTGTGGGCCAGATGTGCTCTTCCCACTAGGAGATGGGAAGGGGAACTGGCTGAACGGCCTACATCAGGATGTGGAACAAGCCCATGGTATAAGGACAGCTCAGGATAGTCAAGATATTGGTGCACTGTGATCTGTTTCGATCGTTGTATAAAAGGAGAATTAGAAATGATGGGAATTTTGTATTGGCCTAGGGGAGCCTACATGATGTTGTGCCAATACCTTGTCATGGACACCCATGTGTTGACCCCTCGTCTATCAGATCACAAGTGTTTGGGCTGTGCCTTGTAGACAATAAACCTGGCTGAGCCTTTGCTACTGAACTGAGCCTGTGTCATTCTTTGAGATGAGAGTGGTGTTGGGCTCTCCTGGCTGCAACACCTCAATGACATTTGACAAGGACGGCAATGAAGACATTTACCCTAGTGAATATTACCACACCTGAGTTAAGGTTTTAGCAAGAGCTAAAAACCACCTAAAGGGCTGCAGACTAGATGAGAGATATTATTAGGAAGGGTTGACAGACAGCAAAATGACAGAAGATAGAATAGCTTGAATAGTGGAACATCAAGACTATTAAAAAAAAAAAAAAAAAAAAAA